TGACAAGCACGTAAAATCTTCTATTAGAGAGAGATCGACGTATCATTTTCCCAAGAAACATGGAGATACCACTTGCCAGGGCGGGGCCTAATGGCGGCGAACAGTCTCCAACTCCCTCCTAGCGCCTTTCTTAGCATTGAAAGTTTTGTGCTAGGATTTTTCGCATACCTCATATAATCTAACAATGACCTTCTCTACAATGAAAGAGTGAAGTTTTCTAGTGTCTACTGATACAACACTCAAGAAACTGGCCCTGTTCGAAAAAAAAAAACTTGACTCATCATTCGTATACACTTTTTGTTAAAACGACTTCTAATCTTGCAAATTCCTCAAATGGATTTTTCACTCTGCTCAAACAACTCGTACTTTAACAATAGTACGCTTTAGAATGTGGTGAAGACATGAAGACATTGAACCTTAGTGAAAGGTTTTGGTTTGCAAAAAAAGCTTTGGTCAAATATGTGCAAAAAGGCTATATTCTCAATCACGAAGCCACTTACTAAATTTTTCTATGCAATAGCCTCTTCACTGCTAAGACTCTAATAAAAAGGCTTGTCGTAATCAAAGTAATGATTCTAAGCTTTTTGAAAGAGCACTTCATCTTGTAAGGAAATACGCTTTTTGAAATTGCAGACGCGATGGGTTGCCGCACCGCATGGAAAAGTTCAGTCATTCTGCGAAACTCCTATCTCAGGGAGCCTTCAGGGATGTAATGAAAATGTTGCAGTGGATAGAAGGACTTACGCGTAAAAAGGACTAGATTGGTAAGTACTTTAGTCTGTAAACGAACCACTTGACTAGGTGGTGGTGGTGGTGCACTGGATGGCACTGTCGTTGAGCTGGTATTCGCCTGGCGTTGAATGCCTCGTGACTTGTTGTGAGTGTTTCGCTTCTTTTTCCTCATTTCATCAGGAGGCGACTTGACGGGATTCGCAGGAGGTACAACATGGCGTATCTCCGGGTGCAAAGGATGAATTTCAAAGCTGGTTGTCTGCACAAAGACAACTCTCTAATACATCCAATAAAGGCTGATTGGCGCTTACTTTGTTCTGATTTTGCATACTGCTGCTTACATGTGACGCATGGTTAGAACGTAACATAAGCATCGACAGCGCATTCGGGAGCGCTATCCCTGGAGGTGGACCAGCATGAGGTCGAAGTGCAGGCGGTACCGGATAGCCATACTGCGCTCGCGGGATCTGCAAAAACGTCTGCAAACTAGTCGGAATGTGAAGCGTTCACATACCTGAGGTGGGGTTTGTGAGCCAGGAGGTGGAGGGAATAACTTTGATAGCACAGGACTCAGCTCCATGAAGATACGATGTGATTCATCCTCAGTGTTCTTGTGTTCTTATACTCCTTTATCAGTAACAATGCCACATGTTAAACTTGCAGAGACTTGCTCGTTAATGAGCACGTTTTTTTAATGGCTAAGATCAAATCACCGTTATCAAACCGCTATTCGTTAACATCTCAACTGATTTAACTCCCACCTGCACTCTACGCCACCACTCACGTTGCAACCCCTCCTTCCAATAAAAAATTCTAGCGCTGTGCGTAGCATTTTATTCGAAATTTTGTAGAATTTCAAAACTTAAAATTAATTCCAGGTTATTTCTTTGGAGGGAAACAAATGTTGGATCCATGACTATGGGTTAATCAATTTAGTGGACAGAATCCATCCCAATCATGCAAAGCAGGATGACAGTAGTACTCGCGAACTCATTTAGTCTGAGCTAAAATCTGTTAAAGCAATCGAATAAGTAAGCAAGTAAATTTACGCCAGCATGTTGATTAAAGTGCTATTTTCAATGCAACTTTAACAATCTTGACCACTAGTCGTCTCGGGTTCGGTTACGGACATGGTAGAGAAATCGGCACTTTTTTATAATTTTCATCCGATCTGAATCTTTGCACATCTACTTTTTTGATATTTGATCTTACAATATATGATTGGTAAATTGATTTACCGCTTTTTTTCGGGTTCGCTCATTGCCGAAAATTAGTGCACTCGAATAGTCAAGATGCTGATCACATATATGACTACCAGCCAGAACATACTGGTATCTTCGATCGCGTTGAGCAAAGAATTGCACAAGAATATGACAGTAAGCTAACAAATGTGGCGGTTATCTCGTACTTTGTCCACAAATTCCCATCTTCCCAACTTGTCAACATAGTCTGCCATTGGAGATACTAAAAAGATCAACAAAAAATACTTTTTAGGTCAAGCAGACTGGATTCGTCAAATGTAAGTTCTGCTCAATAACAATTGGACACTTTTAAGATCTACTTTATTCACAAATGTTAGATGATACAAACTTCTATCTTAA